CACCCCTCTCTCCCGCCTGCACTCCCACGCCCCGCCGCCTCCTACCCTGCACTGCCTCCTCCTGCCCTGCACCCCCGACATCTCCTTGGCCCTCTGCATGTTCCTCAGCGCGGGTGGTCCAGGGCTGCTTGGCAGATTCCAACAGGACCAGGCAGCACGCTGGCTCTGACGGCCCCACGGACACAGGCAGCCCGGAGCCCTGCTCCGAAGGCCTCCCTCCCTGACTGGCTTTGCTTCAGCATCAGCCCTCCTCCCCTGGTGCTGCATGTGGATCCATTTCCCTCTCTCCGCCTCACCCGCATGAAGGCCCAGCCCCGGCCGCCCTCGCCCCATGCCCAGTGAGTTACCCAGGTGACCACTTAGGAATCCGCCAGCCAGACTGCCACCCCCTGCGGAGAACAGCTGGTCTCGGCCAGAGGGGAAGCAGCAACTGTTCCCCAATTTCCTCTGGGACCCTGATAGGTTCCCAAAGGAACTGACCTGTTAGAACAAGTAATTCTGGGTATTCTGACCTCTTCCAACTAATATACCTACGGGTTTTGGAGACCAAAAGCAACAGAGAACAACTAGACAAGGTTCGCAGGAAAGCGCCAGTAGAGAAGGCTGTTCACCTTAAGAATAATTATGGGAGCCCTGGCTGGTGTGGCTCAGTGGATAGAGCATCGCCCTGTGGACTGAGGGGTCCCGGGTTCGATTCCAGTCAAGAATGGTGCAGGAGGCAGCTGATCAATGATTGTCTCTCATCATTGATGTTTCTATCTCTCTCTCTCCCTCTCCTTTCCTCGCTGAAACCAATAAAAAAAGGTTTTTTTAAATAATGTATATATAATTTTTAAAAAATTAAGTTAAATAAAAGAATATGGGAAACTAAAATGGGATTTTGAAAGAAAAACAGAAGCAAGCATAGGGCTACGCTGAGAACTATGACAAGGTGTTTCCCCTTCTCTCTATTAATAGTTTAAGAAAAATTAAAATTACCATTAAAAGGGGGAAGATTACCAAGGACCTTGAAATAACGCAGCTATTTTATCTGTTCTTAACCACACCTAACTAAGCTGGAGTAAAGCTTGTCTAATCAACCAATATCTGTTTTTAATCAGAACCTACCCCCTTTAAACTGGGAATGTTATAGAGCAATTTAAATATAGTTTCGCTAGTCAAATCCGGCCCAATTCACCTGATAGGGCAAGATTTAAAACAAACAAACAAAAAAAATGACGTACACATATCCTTTTTGCAGAGGGGTGAAATGTATTTAGAAATAAGAAAATCAGATACTGAACCAATTGGGAAAATAAGAACTTTATTTTTTTTAAATATATTTTATTGCTTTTTTACCGAGAGGAT